GTGTTGACCTTAGAGCCTTTGGGGAAAGTTCTAGACCACCTTGCCTGGAGGCGGGGGGATGGGTGAGGTGACCCCACAAGGCTGATCAGTTCCGTCATTTTGAGTCCTGGTTTCCTGACAAACTCTCCCAGTTTTCGGTGGCAGGGGAGGGAGGCTCTGGCAGAAGTCTGATTCAGGAGCCGGAAGGCACCACCATGGATGGATCCACTGTGCCATCTCTCAGCGTGGGAGGAGAGGCAGCGGCCCAGGACTCACTTCCCCAAAGCTGCTGCTGGAGCCGTGGGCTCCGTGTTCAGCCCAATTCTGACCTCAGAACACCTCCTCTGGCCCCAGTCCCCGTGAAGACAGTGAGAGAAGCTGCAGAGGTAGAATTATGGTGTCTGCTCTTTACATGGTCCAGCCTGTTCAAAGTTCACATCTCCCTTTGCTTGACAGATGATGGTTCAGCCCTGCCCAGGGCTTCCCAATGTCAATCAACAGACACTTATTGAGCAGGCACTGTGTGTCTCAAAGATGTGGTATAGGAGAGGAGTTCTTGCGACTACAGTTTACCACCTGGGTCGGGAGGCCGTGTCAGGAAGAACTCTGGGGAGAGGGCTCTCTGGCCACCTGTCGGCCACCGTGAAGAGAGTAGGGCTGGGGAAGAGGGGATGGGGCTGGGTGACCACTGGCCTCCTGTTGGGCTGGGACAGGGGTTGACAGGCGATGCTCATGAAGCCACCCACAGGCAGTTATAATGACGTGCCCTGCTGGGGGACGTGGACAGCTAGAGCCTCTGGCAGGATGTGACAGCGAGGAGCTGACGCTGGGGGACTCACAGTCCGTGCACCCGATTAGATGCAGCAGGGCTTTGGGAAGGAGGCCCAGGAGACCCCCGCTGGCAGCTCGCTTACCCTCCCGGTTGCAGGTTGGATTTGGGGATTATCAAGTTCTTTGTACAGTGTCTTGATGCTAGTGGGCGCTCAGTAGACTCACTGTGCAGGGCGTGACTGTGAACCCATCGTGCTCACAAAGGGAAGCTCAGCGTAGCTGCATCCTGAAGGAAGCTTCGCGGGAGAGCGTCAGGTCCCTCCCGCCGGGCACACTTGCTCGGCCACTCCTGGGGCAAAGTAAGTGGAGGGGGGCAGGCTGGTGAGGAATAGGGGTGCCGGGGGCAAGGAGTGCCCCAGCCCCAGAGAGGAACCAGGCTCCCTTAGAAAGGAGCACAGTGTCGGCCACAACTGACCCTCTGTGGCTCCTTAAAGCAATCCAGGTTGACCCAACTCCACTCATTCCACAGTGGCCATCAGGTCACCATCTCGTCCACTATTTCAGAAGCACACTTTCATCTGGTGAGTTGCCAAATACTGATACAATGTGCAATTTTTTGTTCAAAACGAATAACAAAACATGTTGAATTATACATATTTTATGGGTCTGTATATAATGAAAGTTTAAGTGATGTGAATTGATCCAGAAACTCAGGAAGAAAATTAGTAGCTGTTAACAGAAAACCGAATGGCTCTTCGTTAGGGGTCCTCCCTTGCCTGAATTTTCTAAAAGACCCGGGGACTCACAGAGTCCCCACGAGAGTTAGGGCGTCCACGCCCCGGAGGTCGGGACCTGGAATTTCATCAACCTACTGATGCTGTTGCTCCTCACCGCCACACGGTGGCGCTGCTGACAGCAGATTCTGCCCTTTCCCGAGTTGAGTGGATGGGCGGTTCTCGGCGGCTAACGGGATTCTGCCCAGGCTTCCGAGCATCCTTGAGAGGAGAGGGTCCCAGTACTCAAGTTTTCTAAGCTCAGGCAAGGGCGCTCCTCATCAGGTTCCCAGGGGAACAGCTCCCGGTGCTCGACTCAGTCTGATTACACCCCAGTGTCGCTTTCCCACCAAGAGGACTCCACAGCCATCCTCCTAAGAACATTCTCAGGGGACGTGTCCCCCCCCCCCAAGGCGACCACGGTGACCTGCGTACCTGTCTCACCAGCTCAACAACAGCACGAGAATGTGACTCTGCACTGGGACTTCCCCTCCCACAGGGATCATAACTGAATAAGATACTTCTGTCAGGTCAGAGCAAGCCCCTCTGATCTTTTGATCCAAACGTGAAACAAGGGGGAGAAATACTGGGGGGAGCAGGGTGTGGTCAATTGGCATTTATCGGTTCATGGAATTACTGACTCTGGGGCCTTGGGCAGGTAATGCGACCTTCGTGAGCCTCTTTTCTCACCTGTAAAACTGGCAGATATCCGGTCCGACCTTGTGAGAACGGTGCAGGAATTGAGTGGGATGGTTCACAAAAAGTACGTGGAACAGTGCCCTGTGCATCATGAACAATAAATGAAGCTACAGTTGTCATTATTGTTATTATTTCACTACAGTGCTCTGCTTACCGCTATGTCCCACTGCCTAGAGCAGTCCCGAGCATACAGAGACCCTCAGTGAGTGTCTACTGAATGACGCAGTCCCTTGGCTCCCGTAGGGGGCAGAAGGCTCACTGGGGAAGGAGCAGAACACAGTCCCTGCGGGGCGTCCCACCTATGCTCCCTGGCAAGTGGGTGGCTCTTTGCTAACAGTCAAGAGAGAACGGGCTCAAGAATTATGTGGTCAAGCTGTGAGGTGTCTTGTCTGAGTCACTTTTCTGAATAATTTAAGGAAAAATATAAATAGTATGTGAGGAAAATAAGTTGAATATTGACTCAACACAAATAGATATTAAGTAGTATCTATTAAAATTGTCATCAGATATAAATAAATTTCTGAACTCTATCAACTTATATTTAAATAATTAAGTCAAATATGAACAGACAGGGGCCACGTGGGAGAGAAAGCCTGGATCCCACATTTTTGCAAACCAACTGCGCTGCTCACAGCTCATGCTGAGCGCCCAGTATGTGCCCTCAGGCGCTGGGCAGGCCTGAGGGCCGTCACCCAGGCGTGAAAGGCCGGTTCTGCCCTCTGCCGTCGCGCAGTCCGGCTGAATGTGCAGCCTGGAGAGCCCATGTGGGAGCTGCAGGGCTAGCTGCCTCTGGGGACGGCAGGGCTGGGGAGAGCAGGGCGGGGCAGAGAGGGCCCCCAACCAGTGAGTGTCAGCCAAGGTGCAGGAGGAGACTGGTCCCCACAGAGCTGACAGTTTATTTGGAAGAGGTTTTCTAGAACCTTCCCTGGAAAGCAGCAGGGAGCCCCCAAGGCTGTTGAGCAGGGGAGGGACTGGTGAATTTGTCCTGATGCAGGTCTCCGTGATGCTTACAATCACTGTTGAGTTGTCCTAGTTTCCTTCAGCATGGAGGGCAGAGCTCACTGGGAACGGACTAGGGACCCGAAAAGAGGACAAAGATGAGAAGGCGCAGAAGAGACTCTGGGGAATCTGAGTTTGTGACCGACGTCCCCCCATCGGAAGAGACCTAGTCCCCTTCTGCCCCATGGGAAGGCCCTGCCCAGTGTCCAAGGCCTCAGGCTGCCCCTCAGTCTCCCCGTGGACGCACCACAAGCTCGCTCATTCAGGGTACCCTGAGATCTGCCATGACGAGGAGGACACTAGCAGACAGACGGCACTTACAGGACACGGTGGACACACACGAGAGGGGGGAGTGGGCTCAGGGAGAATTCCTGGAGAAAATGACACCTGAGTTGATTCCGATAGCCGCATGTGATGAGGGTTGGTGGCACTTAAATTCACAGGCCAATTGTTTCTACAACAACAGCTTCCTAGAGTCTGGGAAAGGCTGTATGTAATTCAATCCTGCCCTGACAGCCCAGCTTCCTGCCTGACCCTCCCTCTCGGTTACTCAGCAAGTATTCGTGCAGCATCTGTGACACGCCGGAAGCCGGGCCGGGCTCTGGGCACACAGAGGTCAAAGAATAGGCTCTTCTGTTAAGTGCCACCAAGGAGAAACCCAGGATGGTGTGAGAGGGTGCATCCTGGACCCTCGTGGACTAGGGCGTGGCAGGCTTGGTGACTGCCTCTCCACCAGCAGAGGGCTTTGAAAGTCCCCAAAACGCCTGAGTTTCTCAGAGTCAAAGATGCACTTCCTTCAACAAAAAGCTGGATGCCTCTGTGGATTCATGGTTGCCACCGGGATTTGTACGGCTCATTCAACATGCAGTCTTTGAGCCCCCCAGATGCTAGGCCCTGGCAGGTATCAGCCACGAGACTTGATTCCCACTCAAAGGAAATGGTATCACGTGGCACTTTTTATAAGCCAGGCCCGGGAGGTGTTTTATGGTATATTTTTGTCTCATTTGATTCTCACAGATTATTAATCTCCTGTGAGGGATGTTTTAATTATCTCCATATATGAAAACCATGACCCAAGCTTTAAGGGGTGAGCCCAGGATTTGAACCCCACTCTGAGCATCCTCTTCAGCAGCCGCACCACCTCCCCTCACGGTGCTTACATCCCGTTT